TGGCTTTCTTACCCCCTCCCCAGATTCAAATAATGTCTCGCAGAAGCAAACACTGTCAAGAGGAGCCACTGAACGGGTGACAAGAGACTTTTCACCGCGATGCCCGTGGCTTTGCCTGTTAGTTACTGCAGAGTAACTAATTTCAGTGGAATTTCAGTGCCCCCGTTCCCTGTGCTACCCCCACGTGCCTGCCCGCGCCCGCTGACGTGCTCCAGGGAGGTCGTCAGTGCCAAGCAGTTACCGTATCGCAACGTTTCTCATGGTGTGCGGTAGATTCTCCGTGTAGACAAGCCCTCGGAAGCATTCGATTTGGTCTAAATTTAGGGTTTTTTTTCAGATTGGTGGAAGGGAGCAGAAGTGCCCTGGGACACCTTGTTTCTCAGTGCGCTCCGTATTTCCAGGACCCGGGCTGGAGGCAGCAGAACGGCCGGGAGTGCAGCCCTTGGCCCATCTACGCCTGCCCGCTAAGTTGTGGTAAGAGAGAGGCTCCGCTAACACGGAGCCAATGGATATGGCCAGGAGCCATCTGCAAGGCCTGAATAAAAGGACAGGCGATGAAACTTTGCATAGTCCAGGTGGCCAGGTAGAGGAGCAACCCCAGTAACAACCCACAGCAAGAACAGGGTTGGGGGGGAGAAGGGATGGGGCTGGATGGAGGCTCGAGGGAGAGCGTGGGGATCGGATCCCACAGGAAGCAGCCGAGGAGCCGCGCGGTGTGGAAGACGTGACCGGGCGTGGGGTACGTATAGGCAGATCAGGAGGAGAAATGTCTTTTCTTATTACGTTAAATATAAAACATTAAAAAATAATACTACTTGTGGAACCGACCCCAGCCAGCTCCTGGGATGCCGGATCTCTTCAGAGATGCGGAGGAGCGTGTGAGGGGTGCAGGAAGAGGAGCGGAGGTCTTAAACTCCTCCATGCCTCTGCAAATCTCCTGGGAGGCCCTAAGCTGGAGCCCAAAAGGATTGGGGAGATGAGCGTTGGCAGTGGTGGGGGCTGGATCATGCGGAAACTGTCATGTGATGGACATGACGTGACACGAAGTTGCTCTGAGTGGGTAGAATGGGCTCTCCGTGCCTTGGTACTGCTGCTACAGATTAACCAGGCTCTTTTCTCAGCGCCACGAGTATTCACCTGACTTGGGGTGCACAGAGAGAAATGTGTGGATTCACAGAGAAAACGTTATTTCCCCTTCCATTAAAAACCCCACCATGGCACTGGGGTGAGGAGGAGCCTGGCGTTCCCATGCAGCAACACCCCGTTCTGCCAGGTCGGAGACCTGCCCTAAGTGATCAAGGAGCTCATAGGAACAGACATGGAGAACATTCCCAAAGGCATGCAAATGGTCATTGTCTCTTTTTTTTTTTTTTTTCATCAAAAATACAAAAGCACCCACCACATCCTCCAGCTTTTGCGCTGCGTTTCGTTGGGAGAAGAGCCGTGGTCCTGCTGCAGCTCTGCTCTCCCTCCTGCTCCGTGGAACAGCTCTCAGCTCCCGATGGCAGTTTGAGCTTTGTTTTGTTTTGTTTTGTTTTTTTTTATAGAGACAGAGAATGACGATTTAAAAACCAACAACGCCCCAAAAAACTCAGTGACTTGTGCCAAAATTCTTAGGAGGACTCCTCAAAATGTCCCGTTCTCGCCTTAAATTTTTCTTTTAAAATAAGCTTCGTTCTTGAAACTCTCTCCTCCTCTTGTATTTTAGTTGTCTTCCCCACTCCGTGAGTTTTGCTGGAGGGGAATGAGGTAGTGCATTTCCCCCTTCTCCTCTCCGCTCGGTGTCCGATGTTCGTTCCCATTCCTTCTTGCGATGTTTTTTATCCCATCACTCGTACAAACTCATTTCCAAGAGGCGGTGAAGTAGAAGCATGCGTTCCTTCCGACGGCGCTCCAGAGCAGGCTGTCTAGGGCTGCCCACCTACACTGTGACAATTTTTTGTTGCAAGGCTGAAAGTAAAAACCCCAAAAGGAAAGTTGTCTTCCTCCTCTTCGAGGTATCTGCATGCTGAAACATCTTCTAGGAAACTGTAAAAAAAAGAGTCTTAGGGCAGCTTCCAGCGGTCACATGTTTCCCTTACGCTCTTGGTTTGGGCTTTGAGTGTTTCTGAGGCTCCTGCTTGCCTGACCTGTGCTGCCATCAGGGAATGGTTTGGGTTGGAAAGGCCCTTAAAGCCCCCCCAGTCCCCCCCCCTGCCATGGGCAGGGACACCTTCCACCAGACCAGGTTGCTCCCAGCCTCATCCAGCCTGGCCTTGGACACTTCCAGGGATGGGGCATCCACAGCTTCTCTGGGCAACCTGTCCCAGTGCTCCCCACCCTCTCTGGGAAGAATTTCTTCCCGATATCCAATTGAAATCTCCCTGCTTTCAATTTAAACCCATTGCCCCTTGTCCTGTCACTCCCTGCCCTTGTAAAAAGTCCCCCCCAGCTTTCTTGTAGCCCCCCCAGGCACTGGAAGGTGCTATAAGGTCTCCCTGGAGCCTTCTCTTATCCAGGATGAACACCCCAACTCTCCCAGCCTGTCCTCATGGCAGAGGGGCTCCAGCCCTCAGAGCATCGGTCATGATGGTTTTGGCAGGTGAGTTCCCCAAACATTTTGGGATTGCATTTCTGGGCAGGTCGACTTGTGTCCTGAAACCCCTTGTTTTCACCCCACTACACGCTTCTAAATCCACCACAGCCTTTTCCAGGGAAAGACCTTTCACCAGAGGGACCTTGTATGGTCACCACTGCACCGTGGGACAGCACAGGTGGGATTTTCCACTCTGGTTCTTGGAACAGTGTGTGTTGCTCCTGCAAGGGGCCCCTGCTCCAAGGTGTTGCGATGTGTGTGTGCAGCTGGTCCAACCAGCCTGGACTGTACAGGGGCTTTGTGCCCTACCACTGCAGTTGGGGTGTGGTTGGAACCCCACCTTCCCTAGGGTGGGCGTGGATGGTGGGCAAGCGTGTTCGTGGGCTGGAGAGTGGAACCACATGAGGCTCGTGCCCTAGCTGGGCTGGGGAATAGAAAAGGAGATATTACCTCTGACGCTGAGTGAAATGTAGAGCACGATGATGATGGTCCCCAGGATAATGGAGACGATGCTGAGCAGCCTGGCCATGCGGCCGAGTCGCCGGGCTCCATCCATGTCCCCTTGCTGCCCACTGTTCCTCGACTGCGGGGAAACACAGAAAGAGGCTCCTGAGAACGGCCGCGGCTCTGGAGCGACTTGGTTGTAGCCCCCAAAATGAGAACTGCTGTGCCGGCGGGAGGGGTGGACGTGCCACCCAGGGCTCTGGCAGGGCGGCACATGTATCCCCTCTGCCATCCCACGGCTTTGACAGCCTGTGGTCCTCCTAAACTGACATGCCTGAAGCAGCCCCCCTGGATGTTCTGCCTGCTCTGGGCAGGAGCTGGCTCCAGTCTGTCTTTTGTTAGAGTGACTAAGAAATAGGCACAGTGCGGTCCCCAGCAGCAGCAGCCCCTCTCTGACTCCTTCATGGAAAACCCTACGTTCTTGGTTTCAGCCCCCAGAGCAGCTCACTTCGACAGGGACTGCAGCCCCCAGGGTACCACTGCCCTTCTGCAGCTTACCTACAGCAAAAGCATCCCACCTCCACCATCTCCTGCAAATTTACATATTGAGAAGCAATGAGTATTGTGAGTTTAACTGTCATTGACAAACTGGATAAAAAACCAAACCCAGTGACGTTTCCAAAGCAGCCTGTGGCCCCTCTGCTGGCCGTCGGAGCCGAATACGTGTGCGAGAGGCAGGGGCTTTGATGAAGCAGGCAGTAACCACCGGCTTTCATCTCGTGATGGGGTGCGTTTGGGGCCTGTGCATTACCCTGAATTTCTGCTTCGACATAGATGGGTTGTGTTCACCATCTCTGGTTTTAAATGCCTTCCCTCCTACAGTGAATTTCTGCTCCTGTGTGTGCCGTAGGGAGGGAATAGCCCGTGTGGCTTCTCCATTCTAGTTTCATTGTGATTTCCCCTGCTGCTCTATTGATTTCTTCAGGCAGCTCGGTGAGAGCTTTCCTCTGCTCTGTAACTAAAGGAAAGGGCTCCCTGGCTGTGGCAGAGCTGAGGAATGGGATGGGGGAAGGCACTAGTACGTGCCTGGGAATTATTGTGTGTGGACTCCTTAAGGGATGGAGAGAGATCCTCAAGAGCTGGAGCTAGAACAGGGCTTGCTGGTGCTGGTGTTGGTGGGCACTGGTGTCTTAACAGGAGGGTCTCGGTGGGATAGATCGCAGTGGTCCTTGTCTTTGGGAACAAGTGGCAACCCGGAGTGGATGGAGAACATGGAGGTTCCCTTGGAAACTTTGCTTTTCACTGCTCAGCCAGGGCTGGCCACCCCTGGGCTTGCAGAGATCCAGCCCCGGGGGGCATCCTGGGGGGGTGAGTGAAGCTACCCCAGGGCTGCCAGGGCTGCAGCTGCAAGGGGCTGGGTGGGTTGAGCAGGATTTGGGCTCACACCCAAAGGGGAAAGACAGGAGAGTGGCTGAGCATGGGCTCACCAACACCTTGCCTGGTGCCTGACGGTGCAGTGAGGGTGATGCTGTGGTCTGACTTCTCTGAGCTTGAGTGCCCTGTGCTCAGCAGATCTGCTGATCCGCTGGGCAAGAGGAGCCCTCGCCTAAGCTACCCACACACAGCAACCTGGAGACCGAGCACAGCTCATCAGAAGAAGCACAATACACAGATGCACCATAAGTATTCAGAGTAAGTGAAACAAGATTGGTTCTTGTTCTTCTAGTTGGCAATCGTTTGGTTCCCGAGTGAAAAATACTGAAAGTAGGGGTTCCTGGTGAGGGAGAAGCATTATTGCCGAGAGAAGAGCCCAAAGTGCTCCCCAGCCTGCCGGAGTGAGTGTGCTGGGCTTCCTGCTCTTGGCTGAGGGAGGACCTGGCACCGAGCAGAAGGGCAGCGGTGCAGTATCACGGCGAGGTTATTATGGTGGAATTACTCACCGTGCGTCAGCATTCGCCGCGGGTGCGGTGGAGAGGCTGGAACCCCTCCATCAGCAGAACAGGAGCTGCCTGCTTGCGACCAGCACGGCTCTCCGGACCGAAAAGCTTTCCCGAATTCACGCAGAGCCCTTCTGCCTCCTGTGAAACCCATCGGGAAGGGGTTTTGGAGGCAGGGAAATTAGATAAGGAGTTTTAAGGTCCATGGGTAACATTTTCACCTGGTTGGGAAGGCTTGGAGTGGGGGCGAAGAGGAGCAAGGCAGGCTGGGGGGAGAGAGCAGGGGAAGAAGGAGAAGCCCAGCACGTGGGTCTGTCACCTTGATCTGGTGGAGTTGGGCAAAACTCCCCACAACCTCACCAGGGATGGCGTTTTGTAGATAAAACTGCCTTGAAGCAGTTACACCTTCTCTAGAGATGCTTTTTAGTATTTAACATTTCTACAGGGGTTAAAGGTTTCTTCCCCCTCCCCATCCATTTCCAGCTGCCTTGGCCGAGCTGTATCTCAGGAGAAGAGGGAGATTTGGGGCAGGCTGTGGGGCAGCGGCTCCCCACAGCCCCACACCATGGGCCAGCTCCTCCCTTTGGAGCATGGCTGCTAAAACTGGGAACACTCTGAGTCAAAGAAATAAATATGCTAGTTAAAAAGTGCTAAAGGTGGAAGTGCGTAAAACAATCCCACTTTCCTTTCAAAAAAATGTGTCTCTCATAAATAACAACTGCGCTGGAAAGGGTCCCCTGTCAGATGTTTTTAAAAAAAGAAAAGAGAATGAAGAGTCAGGAGGCCTAGCACAGCTCCAGCACTAACTGTGAAACGTCTTTGAGAATCCAAACCCACAAATACGCGATGTTACTACCCCACTTCCCATTCATCGTGCTTTAATACCTCTATCCCTCTTGGCAGCACCACGAGCAAGACATCCCCAGCCCAGTCTGCGCGCTGGCTGCTGCTCCGTAGCGCCCAGGTAGGTAAAATGCAGTTTTGAAGGTTTCCGTGCGCTCGTTTTAGTTTGTATCACCACATAAATAACGTAGCAGAGCCTCAAACGGGCAGCTGCTTCCGCTGCATCCCTGCAGACATCCCGCTCCGCTCGCGTGCCGCCCTGCGTAATGCCGTCCCCACCGCTGGCGCCAAGAGAGCTCGAGCCCTTGTTTCTCCTGGGCTCGACAGCACGTTTGACAGACGATATCTAAAATCGATGGGATGCAGCCAAGAGCCTATTTTCGTTACAGAACAGGAGGTGACCAAGTGAAGCCTCGTGGGCCGGTGGCGAGAGATGGGGAGGACGCAGGAGCCCAGGGATTGACAGGGTCCCTGCCCTGCTCACGGCCAGCTCCCAACGTTTGGGATTTATTTTTTTTTTAGGCGCAGATTTTTGTAACACTTGTAATATTTTTGCAGGGTGTGGGTTAGATTGCAGCGAAATAGGCAGTTTTAGCTGTCTTCTAGAGAAAACATACAGACTAACGAATTGGATATATTTATCGCTACAGCTTCTGGAAGGGTTTACTGCTCATTTATCCTGAACAATTATGAAAAACACATCAGCATTGGCATGGGGTGTTTAGCAAGCATTTGTTGCTGTACATACATTATTCATCGGTGTGGAACGGTTTGATTATAGCTCTCTAGTATCACTAATCCTGTGTTTTGCTTTCCACATAAAAACATGAACATCTTGTTTATTAATCGAGGCAGGCTATCTCAGAAAGGCTTGAGGGCTACGGGGAGTGAGTCACTGGGTGTGTGCTGAGGGACTCCGTATGACAGCGGGGTACTGGAAAATCTGAAGGACCCCCGAAAGCAGGGCTGGAAGGGCAGGCTGTTCTGCAGCACCCATGGGGCCAGGTAAGTGTGGGTGATTCGAAAGTGTTATTAATCTTACCTGTTTTCAAACGGCTCTCTGTTCAAGTTACAGTTCAGAAGGTTGGCTGTTTTCCCCTAATAGATCACCTGAGCTGTCTTGTTGCAAATGAAGGCGATTACTTTTCTGTGCTAGTCCCAGGGACAGAGAAGATGAATTGTCATCTCCTCTTCCCTGCAATCTTTCCCAGTTTATGAACTGGGTTTGGATACACTCTGCTGCCTTCCATCAGTTACTCAGAATAAACCATTAATCCTCGACACTTGCGTTTTGTAGAAGAAAACATTCCAGGAGAGGTATAAGTCAACAACAGACTTAAATAGATGACTGTGCCATTTAAAATGAGTAAGGATAGTCTGACTTCTCCCACCTCTTTTGGGAATGACAGTACTTATTTTGGACACCAAGTGCTGTGCAGAATGCCCTTGGTGTTACTGTATGCTGGTTCTGGATGGATTTACCTTTCTTTTTCACTTCATTCGTTGGGAGTTCTGTACACTGGGAAGTCACCTCTCTGCTTCTCCCCTCCATGTGGCTGCACTTTGGTAGGAAGGGGAAGGGATTCAGTAACTGCAATACGGCGCATGTGTGATACCTGGTCCTGCCCTGCGCTCCTCTCAGATGGGTCCTGTGGGGCTGCGCTGCCCATCAGCCCCACTTTCCAGCTCAGACCTGGACCTGAACCCCTTAGTCCAGCCACAGCCTCGCTTGGTCAAGAAAACACATCCAAGGATCAGTGGAGGAGCCTCCAGGTAACTCATTTCCAGGCAACCAGCATTATCAGGGACAGGCTGCGGGCTAGAGCAGATTTTTTTTCCACCTCTGGCCATAGGCCCTGCTGGGATCTGAGAGCAGCTTTTGAAAAATGATTTATGAGACACTAAACCCAAAAGCATTCATTTGCTTTCCTCTCTGGTTGCTGCTTATTACCCAGAAAAAAGCTTTCATGTGCAAAAAGCATTGACTTAGGAAAGAAAAATACAATCGCAGAGCTAAAGGAATGTCAGCACATTGTGGAAAGGCCCCCCTGCCCTCCCCCAGCCACTGGGAATCACAAAAACCTGGTTCCTGCTCAGATTTGCACATGATCAAGCACTCCTGGGTTTTATTCTACAGGGAGACTGAAGCCTCAGTAGTCACTGGGAGCTAAATTCCTCGCTGGTGTAAGCAGGTGAAACATCAGCTGATGCCCCAAGAGCTGTTCCTGCTGGCAGGAGGATCCAGCCAGATGTTTTCTGGCTCCCCAGGGTCAGGACGGAGCAAGGATCATTCCTCATCCTGCTCCGCTGGTGCTGGGAGGGGTCCCTGGCTGGCAGCTGTGTGTGTGATCTGCTCTAGGTGATCCTGCTCTGGCAGGGGGATTGGACT